AAAGAGATGAGGAGGTATGGTACGGAAGTGCTAGGAATCTGCGGAAGCAGATGGAATGGAAGTGGACTCTCCAAACTTTCAACTGGAGAGGAGTCAATAATCTACTCCGATATTCTCACGCAAACGACAACCACGATCACACTTACTTTTCGAGTGGCCATCATGATGTCCCCTCACAACAGCATCGTAGGCTCTCCCTCATGCAGTGGGAACCAATCTCCTCCAAGATCAAGATTATGACAGCAAGATGGATTCAACTCAAAAGGAAGGCAGGAAAGTCACAATCATAAAATGCTACACCATGCACCCACAAATAATGCAGATGAAGAGAAGAAGGAGGAATTCTACAGACAATTACAATCAGTACTGGACAAGACCCTACCACAGTTGACAACATCAAAATCCATTCTAATGGATGACATAAATGTCAAACATGGAGCGGACAACGCAGGAAGAGAACTCATCCATCATGGGTCGAGAAGCAGTCGGTGAAATGAACGAGAACGGGGAGAGCTGTTTGTAGACTTCTGCACATTTAATGATTTGGTGATTGGAGGCAGCGTGTACAAACACAAGGATATTCACAAAGCGATATTGATTTGATTTCACCAGACACCAGATACACAAAACTAAAAGTCAGATGGACTTCATCTCAATTTCAGTGTGAAGAAAGTGGAGACGCAGCCAGTCTACCAGACACAAGATCATATCAGATGAAAAATGGGAGCAGATGTATGCTCACACCACTCACTATCTAGTGCAAGAAACCCACCTTCAAAATCAAGTTGAAAGTCTTCAAGTAAGTTGGTGATGGACCACAGCTCAACTACAACACTCAAAAACTGAAGAACGAAACTACAAACGACATCTTCACGTCAGTCAGTCAGTCAGTCAGTCAGTCATCAGGACAAAATGGGAGACATTAGGTAACATCTCTGAGGAGACCTGTGTGGAAGAGCACTGGAAGTGTTTGGAAGAGGTGTGGAAGGAAAGCTGCATAACCATGTTAGGAAGGAAGAAGCAAGACAAGACAAGACAAGACAAGACAAGACAAGACAAGACAAGACAAGACAAGACAAGACAGGACAGGACAGGACAGGACAGGACAAGGAATGGATCTCGATGGATCTTCACATGGAAGGTGATAGATTAGTGAGAGTAATATGGTGAAACAGAAGATGAACCAATGCAGTGCAGTGCAGTGCAGTGCAGTCAGTCAGTGCAGTGCAGTGCAGTGCATCGATGAACAACGAGAAGAGGAACTGAGTACAATGTATAAAACACTACGCTGGACAAATAAGTGAAGAAGAGTGTGTGCGCAAAGACGAGAGACACTTCGACGACAAGTGAAGCAGAACAGACTGCTGCAGGAAGGAGAGACCTGACAACACTGTATCAAATAACCAGGTTACTGTTTCAGGGGAGAGGTCAAATCAGATGAAACCTATCAAACATGGTGAGGGAAACCTAGTCACCAAAGAGGAGGAACAAAATATACAATGTTCTGACCACTTAAGGAAACTCTTGGATCGACCACCATCACCACCTGCATCTCGTGCGGAAATACCACCGGCAACGGCAGAACCACCAATGAACATAAGCCCTACGACAAATGCAGAAGTTCTGAATATCATACAGTTTCTGAAATCGGGTAAAACAGCAGGACCATATGGAATTCCTCCAGTAGCACTGAAAACAGATGCAGAGACAACAGTGGACATGCTCACACCACTACTGCAGAAGCTTTGGAAGGAGGAGAAGGTACCTGTCGGTTGATTGGAAGAATAGATACCTTGTCAAACTCCCAAACAAGGGAGATCTAAGTCTTTGCAAGAACTGGCGAGGAATCATGCTGTTGTCAACTCCAAACAAAATATTAAGCCACATCATCCTGGAGAGACTGAACAATGCACTGGATTCAAAATTACGACCGGAACAGGCTGGCTAGATTCAGGAAGTACAATTCATGTGTGGATCAAATTGCAACGCTGCACTAAGCATCATCATACAACACTGCATAGAATGATAGTCAACTCTTCACCTCAACTTCATCGATTTTGAAAAGACCTTCGACAGCGTCAACCTAGAAGTAATGTGGCAGGCAGCTGCTTCAACACTACGGTTTTTAGTGGCACAAACCCTTATCAACCTCATTCATCAGCAGCTATACGAAGATGACACATGCCAGGTGATTCAAAATGGGGGCTCTGTGATGCCTTTGAAGTGAAGACAGGAAGGAGTAAGACAAGGCAGTCGGCTGCTATCACCGATGATCTTCCTGATTGTGGTCGACTGGATCATGCAGCAAACCGTGATGAGCTGTGATAAGATGAGCATATGACGGACCGATGAAAAGACCTAAGAAGAAGATTTGGATTTCTTCAACGATGATGGCGATTTATGTCTAATGTCCTGTTGCACAAATTCGAAGATCTACAGGCGAAAACTAACAAGTTCACAGAAGAGGCAGGGCAGCGAAGACGAGACTACAAGTGAATATAGAGTAGACAGAGGTGATGAAGATACCCAACCAACAACAGCACCAAAAACAAGTACCAATCACCAGAGTCGGGAGAAATCTAAAGGAGGTAGTCTCTTTCACCTACCGGACTAGACCTCGTCGTTTCAACTACAGACGGCTTTCGCAGCATAGACGAGGATGTCAAATCCAAGATCGAAAAGACACCAAGATAGGCTTTCACTAATCTGAAATAAACAACGTGGAGATCTACTACACTGTACTCAGCATAAAGCGTGAACTACATCTGGATTTTCAACACCAATTCAGTCAAGTCAGTGCTGCTATATGGTTGAGAAACTTGGCTTGTCACGAAAGGCATTTCCAACAAACTACAGACTTACATCATCAACAGCTGCCACCTACACTGGCTCAATACTGAAGATCAGATGAGATTGCCAGGATAATTATAATAATAATAAGCAACAAGGAACTCTGGGAATGGATCAACCAAGAAGCTATCGCTCAACAAATACATAGAAGGAATTGGAAATGGATTGGATTGGATGTACACTGAGAAGACCGACTGGGGACATCACACGCCAATCTGTCGAGTGGAACCCAGTGGGGAAACGATGAATTGGGCGTCCGAGTTGAGGTTGACATTGGGGAGATCATGTGAAGATGAAATGAGAGTTTGTGGGCAATCGTGGTGCCAGGTTGTGAAGACCGCAAAGAAGAGAGTGGAATGGAGGCGCACTGCTGAATCCTTATGTTCCACTAGGAACCCAAGGGAAAGGTACTTATAATAACAGTAATAATAATATACAACCAAATGTTTATTTGCATGATTTTATCAGATCATTCCATAAACATTAATGTAGTCACAACTGTGTTGTATTATGATTTCCTACTTCTAGTTGTTTGTTCACCTTCCATAAATTGTTAAAGCGCTGCTCTCCAGAGCCTATTAGTTACATAGCAGTGATATAAACGCTTAATGGTGACATCACTATATGATATATCACAAAAGTGGAATGAATATGTTTGTTCCATTTGTTAAAACCAACCTCATTAGAGATGTATCCTAAATAGCTTAACTCAAATTATTAAATTCTTCCATTCATTCAGAGCTGTATTGATTTGTCTAATTCAGATGCTCAGATCTATATGACTTCATCAATTTACATCTCACAGCTTAAGTGAAAGAAAGCTAATCCCTTGGTTATATAACTATGGTTCAGTCAGTCTAGTCTGTGCATCAGTAAACGTGTTTATACATCACTCCTTCCATTTAGAAGTACATTGTGGGAGAATTTCTGATGTATAAAAAGTACTGGACTACATAATCTATCATAGAGGAAAGATATTCATTGACTTTAAAACGTTCACAAGTGAGTTAAACACATTGAATAACAAACATTTCAAGTATATGCAGCACTTAGGAAGCTTACAACATTTGCTAGTTATGCACTTTTACATTATGTTCTCGATATTTTAAAACAGAATACATTTTGCGCCAGTGATTTTCTCGCTTCTTTCTCATTCTAAGATTTTGAATATCAATGGCTAGCAAAAAAATAAGGTCATATCAAGGTCGCATTGTCATGAAAAATTATATTGGTTCATAAAAACAAACATGAATTTATTGGCGTGAGTTTAAATCTAAAGTATGTTCAGCATTCAAAAATAACACCTTTTTCACGTGAATACAGTAAATTACTTTCAAATCATAATTTCATAACATCATTCTTCTACATTGTTTTGTAATTTACGTAATATCTTTGAGCAAACTGTTCAGATGTACTGCATTGATTAGCTTCCTTCATACATTTAATCCCACAGCATAACATACGTATTGGAACCATTGAGTAGGTGAATATATCTACACAATGTTTACAGATTGTATTGATGTCATCATATCGATCCAATCCACACCAACAACATGAACCGACTCTTTAAAAATAAACAACGAACTTTGAAATAAGAATAAAATATATTTGAAGATTGTTAGACTAATTTATTTATGGATGAAAATTTCGAAAAGCGCCCAATATTACATTTTCCTGTAGTATGACAAAACATGAACTGTTAGTCGATCAAAAGTAGCTGTTAAATGGAGCACAAATCTAGTGGTGATATGACAGCTCCTAGTTTCCTGTCACTGACCTGCCTAAACTGTTCACCAATTATTGGCATGCAGACTCTTGTGTAGATGTCTCAATATTGCCAATATTCTCACTTTGGTAGTAAAGATGGATAGGAATCAGCAGTGTTCTCGATATTTTAAAACAGAATACATTTTGCGCCAGTGATTTTCTCGCTTCTTTCTCATTCTAAGATTTTGAATATCAATGGCTAGCAAAAAATAAGGTCATATCAAGGTCGCATTGTCATGAAAAATTATATTGGTTCATAAAAACAAACATGAATTTATTGGCGTGAGTTTAAATCTAAAGTATGTTCAGCATTCAAAAATAACACCTTTTTCACGTGAATACAGTAAATTACTTTCAAATCATAATTTCATAACATCATTCTTCTACATTGTTTTGTAATTTACGTAATATCTTTGAGCAAACTGTTCAGATGTACTGCATTGATTAGCTTCCTTCATACATTTAATCCCACAGCATAACATACGTATTGGAACCATTGAGTAGGTGAATATATCTACACAATGTTTACAGATTGTATTGATGTCATCATATCGATCCAATCCACACCAACAACATGAACCGACTCTTTAAAAATAAACAACGAACTTTGAAATAAGAATAAAATATATTTGAAGATTGTTAGACTAATTTATTTATGGATGAAAATTTCGAAAAGCGCCCAATATTACATTTTCCTGTAGTATGACAAAACATGAACTGTTAGTCGATCAAAAGTAGCTGTTAAATGGAGCACAAATCTAGTGGTGATATGACAGCTCCTAGTTTCCTGTCACTGACCTGCCTAAACTGTTCACCAATTATTGGCATGCAGACTCTTGTGTAGATGTCTCAATATTGCCAATATTCTCACTTTGGTAGTAAAGATGGATAGGAATCAGCAGTGGAATCCAAGGTGCTAGGTAAGGCAGCATCATTTCAACTACAGACGGCTTTCGCAGCATAGACGAGGATGTCAAATCCAAGATCGAAAAGACACCAAGATAGGCTTTCACTAATCTGAAATAAACAACGTGGAGATCTACTACACTGTACTCAGCATAAACGTGAACTACATCTGGATTTTCAATACCAATTCAGTCAAGTCAGTGCTGCTATATGGTTGAGAAACTTGGCTTGTCACGAAAGGCATTTCCAACAAACTACAGACTTACATCATCAACAGCTGCCACCTACACTGGCTCAATACTGAAGATCAGATGAGATTGCCAGATAATTATAATAATAATAAGCAACAAGGAACTCTGGGAATGGATCAACCAAGAAGCTATCGCTCAACAAATATATAGAAGGAAGTGGAAATGAATTGGATTGGATGTACATTGAGAAGGCCGACTGGGACATCACACACTAGGCCAGGTTGTCGAGTGGAACCCAGTGGGGAAACGATGAATTGGGCGTCCGAGTTGAGGTTGACATTGGGGAGATCATGTGAAGATGAAATGAGAGTTTGTGGGCAATCGTGGTGCCAGGTTGTGAAGACCGCAAAGAAGAGAGTGGAATGGAGGCGCACTGCTGAATCCTTATGTTCCACTCGGAACCCAAGGGACAAATAATGATAGTAAATTATCTTAATTGCTGTATATGTCCTCTCATTTTTGGTTTTATTTAAATTATACTTCACAAGTAAGTGTGTGATCAGATTGTTCAAAATCTATTACACAAATACATCACATTTTTCAAAGAAACTTTATCTTGTAATCACACTATGTATATTCTATTATTGTTGTGGTTTCGTTAGATTCCTTTTCTTCATTTCATCTGCTTAGAAGGATTACTGCACCAATATTTTCTCATCATAACATCATGACGTGGTCTATGTGTAAAGAGTGAAATAATTGCTCATAACATAACGATAGCTAATTGTGTCGAGTTGAAAGGGAATGGAGTTGTATGGAATTAGAAGCCCGTCTTATGGTAACATAATTTACTGAATCCAGTAATTGTTTCTTTCGGTTCTGTATGTTATGCTGCTGTTAACTACAGCAAACCTTAGGCTATTTTACATGACTTAAGTTGTTCTAATGATATCACATATCGACACGGTAACATGCACTGATCATGTTTTGAGTAGAATCTATCAAAATCACATAAAAGGTAATCTCAAAACAGTTTCTTGTCTAGTAACATAGTTCTATTCTGTAACTGAAGCATATAAAAGGAGCCTTAATAATTAGTACTTATCCTCTACTGCTTAATAAGAAATTTGTACAAACACATAAGAAATGAAATAATAACAGTAATGCAAATACGAGTAATAATGAAAACAAGAGAACAAATAAATTTAAAGCCTCCATTGTGTTACCACATAAGGAAGGAACATCAGAAATTTTGCATAGGATCCTCAAAAAGTCTGGAATTCGGGTAGCATTTAAACCTACAAACTCACTCAGACATGAGTTTTGTCGGCTTAAAAATCTGATAGATCCAACTACATAAAATAATCTAATCTATCAAATACCATGTAATGACTACAGAGATCGAACTAGTCGTTTCGGGTTGGCTAGAATAGCGTAACATAGAAATCTAGCTAAATACAGAATAACTGACCCCAATAAGATTAGTAATTCAGAAAAAACTCAGCTATTGAAATGCATACATTAACACAAAATCACACAATAGGATAGCATAGCATAGCACTGTACTGTACCACTGTTCAATATATATTTCAATTCAATCACCAAGGATTTTGCACAACTACCATATGAGCTCATGACGGATTACTATTAACTTGATTGCATTCATACTAGATACCTAGTTAGGAATTCTCATCCTGAAATGATCGTCACCAGTCGAACCTCGTAGCTTAGTCAGTAGAGTAGACGGCCTGAAACTCGGTGGTTGCTGCTTGAAATCTGACTGCTTTCCAAAGTTTCATTTCACTTTCAACTGTTGCCCAGTAACATCGGAAACTGGTGTTGCACGATTTCTGTTACATATGTCAGATGTCGATTCGATACAAAGCTTTCAGTTATCAATCTTTCTCTCTTTCTACCCAAGTTATTTTGAAAGATTGTCACTCTATCCTATCCTATGGTTTAATTGCTTCTAAACACATGCACAGCTACGGTTGGACTCTTTTGTAGATCCTTATTAGGGTCTATCACTCTAATGTTTAGCTAGGTTTCTACGTTCAGCTACCATAAGTGACCTAGGTTGGTTAGTCTGATCTATGCATTTGACTTTAGCTATTATACGTGATTTCCTAGACCGAATTGTTTCGTTTAATGGATTCGATAAGATCACTAGGTCGACAAAGTTAATGTCCAAGTGAGTTTTTAGGTGTAAATTTCACTCTAATCTTAGTATGGATAAGTTTCTGATGTTCCTACTTTATATGCAAAACGGCAAAGGTTTTAAAATACTTTTTCTTGGTTCTAGTGCTACCACATTTCGTGTCTGCAATTATATTATTCGAAGTATTTTTCTTGATATTACTTATGTGTTTCTGGGTGAATTCCTGCTTATAGTTGTTGAGTAATAATGAGTCCTTTAGATGTTCCACTTCTTGATATGTAGTAGATATGATGCAACATCAACTCGGGCAATGTAGGAAAGTTTACTGACAATGAAATTGAAGAATTAAAAACATTCGAACTATAAAACTGGACCATAAAGTTGTGTAACATTACCAGCAGCAATAAATCGTGCTCGAAATCTCATCAATACTGTGCCACTGTGTGATATGTATATTAAAACGAACTATGATAGGATTATTGTTCCATTCCTTGGAGAAAAGGCTACAGTCAACTTACCCTTTAGTGTAATAGTTAGTCACAAAAGGATTCTAATAAATTATGTACATATTTGAGTAGATAAAAAAATGTTCACCATCAGTCTACTTCCTAGATTATTTAAACATAAAGAAAGTGTGAACCAAGCTCATAGAGTAACTATACTCTGAGTAAACCTTACAGTGCCTACTATCTTGGAATGACTATCCTAAACTGAAGTTTTAAGCTGCATAAGGGAAATCTGTAGCGAAAAATGATCATGGCCTTAAAAATAAACTACAACAGCTTCTCCACATAAGATGGAACTTAAACAAATTCAAAAGAAGACGTTGAGATGATGAAGAATATTTCTAGCTCATGAGGATAATGTTGTTGTGTTCCCTGAGCTAAATGATTAAACCTTTCAGCTCATAGAAGACAACACTATCAGAAAACATTTTAGATGCATACAATAATCCAATTTAGCAAGAAGGTAAAACGTCTGAGTTACATCACTTCAGCCCAGTTGGAAAAGCTAATTAAAAAAGCTGCTTCTGCTTTCTGAACATCACTTAAGCAAAACGTTTCATTTATCCTATCCATGTTTGTTGTCTCCCTCATATATCTTTTCATTATAAGCAATTCAGAAATAAAAGCCAATGTATAAGTTAACTTACGGAGATAACAGACTTTTTAGTATAGTGCATTCTATCTTGTCAGAAACCTTCTTAAATTCCAAAGAATCTGAAGTATCCTCTTTTGAAGCAACCATCAGAAGATAATGTTCTGGTTCCCTTTTCAAAGCTTCCTTATTCTTTTCACTAACTTTATGCAGAATATTTCTCACTGTTAAACTAGCCAACAGCTTCAGGGATTGAACCTTAAGTGTAGAGCATCTCTTGAATTCTTTTGGAAATAAACACAATAGTGGATTATCATTCAGGTCTAAGTTTTCCAAAACATTTTGGCAAAGATATAAAAGTCCAGGAGGGATACCAAGCAAATCGTTACCGCAAATTTTAAGTATCTTTAGATGCCTGAAAGTAATGACATGAGAAATAAAATTCATTCAATTGGATAATCTTGAAAAATATTAGAGAAAATTACAGAAAATGAAAAATCTCCAATTTCCTGAGATATTTCAATTTAGGCACAGTTATCTAAACCAATGCTTTCTGAATTGCATCAAATTAATTCCTTTGATATTGGCTCGAAATGTCATCAAGTAAATAATACTGCTTCACTGTGAGCTATATCAAATAAACCAATGTAATGCAGATAAGCACACTATCAGAGCTTCCAACATCTATGCTTGCTTGCAGAACTAGCCTTGGAATAAGTGAATAGGGTTTCTATTTTAAGATAATCACACTAGGCTACCAAAGCTGTTCAGTGTCCTATGGTCTACGATAGGTCTTCAGCCAACACTATTTGATAATGAAAGAAAGATTTATCTTAAAACTTACAACTAGAAACCATCAAAAGGTACATTTATCATACTTCATTTACACATAGAACACAATCACTTACAGAAATTGTTTTATCCGACTATCAATATAAACAAGACGATTATGGGATAAGTTCAACAATTCAAGTGATTTTAAATCATAAAATCTAAAATAATAAAAAAAATTATGACTGAGTTACTCTACAAAATACATTACAATGAATTAGACGGTTTCTGTTGGACAGATTAAAACCCTTCGACAACAATATGCTAGTTCACGTTAAAATGCTTACAGGAGTATAGAAGAACAGTATTTATAACATGGAAAGCTCAGTGATGCTTTTAAAGTGAAGACAGGAGTGAAACAAGGTTGCCGCCTACTATCCCACATGATACTCCTGATTGTGGTCTAGTGGACTGGATTGCATCATGCAGCAGACAACAGTGGGGAGCTGTGAGAAGAGGGGGATACGCCGGCTGGACTGAGGAAAATAACCTAGAAGATCTGGATTTCGCCAGTGATGACTTGTGTCTGATGTCACACAAACTAGAAGATGTACAGGCGAAAACTAACAAGTTGACAAAAGAGGCAGGACAGGGCAGGGCAGGGTGGGGCAGGGTGGGCCGGATGGGCCGGATGGGGCAGCGAAGACGAGACTTCAGTGAATATAGAAGACAGAGGTGATGAAGATACCCAACCAACACAACAACAACAAGCTCCAATCACCATGAACAGGAGAAACTTAAAGGAAGTAGCCTCCTTCACACACTCTCCTAGGCAGCACTCTTTCAACTACAGGCGATGGCGGCACAGACGAGGACGTCAAAGCAGCCAGGATCGGAAAGACAGCAAGACAGGCGTTCATCTGCCTGAAACCAGTGTGGAGATCTTCTGCACTCCACTCAGCATTAAGTGTGAACAACATGTGGATTTTGAACACCAATTCAGCCAAGTCAGTGCTGTTATATGGCTGAGAGACTTGGCACGTTATGAAAGGCATTTCCAACAAACTACACATATTCATCAACAACTGCCCCCTGCGCTGGCTCGTTACTGAAGATCAGATGGATTGCCAGAATAATGAGAATGAGCAACGAGGAACTCTGGCTGGCTGGCTGGCTGACTGGCTGGCTGGGTGCTGGCTGGCTGACTGACTGGCTGGCTGCTGGCTGGCTGGCTGGCTGGCTGGCTGGCTGCTGTGCTGCTGCTGCTGGCTGGCTGGCTGGCTGGCTGGCTGGCTGGCTGGCTGGCTGGCTGGCTGGCTGGCTGGCTGGCTGGCTGGCTGGCTGGCTGGCTGGCTGGCTGGCTGGCTGGCTGGCTGGCTGGCTGGCTGGCTGGCTGGCTGGCTGGCTGGCTGGCTGGCTGGCTGGCTGGCTGGCTGTTGACGAACCAACGAAGCAAGAAGCTATCGCTGAACAAATATGCAGTAGCAGGAAGCGGGGATGGATTGGATTGGATTGGGCATGCACTGGGAAGGCCGACTGTGGACACCACGCGTCAGGCCAGTTGCTCGAGTGGAAGCCGGATGGGAAGTGACGAGTTGGGTGTCGGTGTCGAGGGTGACATGTATGAGATGGTGCGAGGAGGAAATGAAAGCTTGTGGGCAGTTGTGGAGCCAGGTTGAAAATATTTCAGAGAGGAGAGTGGAGTGGAGACGTGCTAGTGAATCCCTATGTTTCATTAGGAACCCAAGGGACAAATAAATAATTTATAGCATGCTGCCTAATACAACCAAAAGACGACAGGTTCCTTTAACATGTTATCCTAATTGTGTGAGCGATTCGACGTTTGTTTGTCATAGTATTTATATTAGGAGAAGAAAAAGAAAGGTATACTTTAGATTCTTTGAGAAGGTCGCTAAAACCCTTTATCTCTGCGAGAACAAAAACTTTCATTGGTGTAGTCGCTCTGTAAAGTTATCTGGTTATCATACATCTAATTTCGTGATTACAGTCACTAATGGTACCAAGAAAAATTAGGTTAGACATACGTTGAAGTTTCACGACCTGATACCTTAGAATCCATCAAGGTACTCAACAAACAACCTTATTCAAACCTTTTCAAGTTTACCAAGGTTTTGGTGGTCAGACGACTGAAAACGATACTATACGTTTAAAAAGAAACAGTGGTCAGTCTTTATTTGACCTGTTAAATTAGTTGATTTACTGTTGCTCTTATCTGATGACATCATCTTTTGAGTGAACCTTTTTCTGCCTACAAAATGTTTTGATGATTATTTTACCGATTAAGTTCAACCCATTAAGTACTATTACATAATTTGTCAGTTACTTATCATCAACTAACCCACTTGTTAATCTTCTTACGTGATTTTTTGTTACTACTCATACTGTTTTTCCTGAATTTCATGCTGAGTCTGAAATGTAACTGGGACTTCTTAGCATGTTTTCTTGCCTTAACTTGTATTTTTGTACTCCTTATTAAACCAAGTGCTTTCCTTCAAACTAAATTCATTTAACTGCAGGAAGTTGAACAGAAACCGATGAAATAAAATATCATGCTATTCCGCTCCAATCGCTGATCTTTTTCTACTCATATTCAAATAAGCAAAGTCAGAATCTAGTGAGGTAGAAAAGTTTCACTAAAGGTTGCTGAAACTACTCAAAGTTAAAATATACCAGTGCCACACTGAATGACTTGACGATAGGTTTATGGACCAATCAAATGCATTTTGGTTGATTATAATTAAGTGCTGATATTTGTAGCTCAGGTGGATGGTCTTAGTTGTATTGTGTTCTCTGAGCTGGGTTGTTTAATTGTGAAGCTTTCATCATCTTGCTAGATGATGTCATCAGCAGCACTAACTTCAGTATGAAGTGAGCTGTCACTATCTCTCCATTGGTGAGTGATTTAGTAGCTTTCTCTGAAGATATGGTCTGTGATTGGTTGCTTCCTTCGACTGATGTGTCATTGATTGTATAGACTTTCCTGTTGGCTGCCCGTTCCTCTGCTTCACCTCTCACCTTTCTGTCCTCTATCATTTTTATCACTGGTTGATACATTGGGTCTATATCTATACATCTGTTGATTGCTGACTGACTGACTGACTGACCTGAATGCCAAGCTTCTAGGATTTCTCTGACATTCTTCATATTTCCTCTCTCCGTCCAAGATTTCTGCAATGTCCAAATTGAATTCATGTCCATAGTTGTCATCCACATGCATTGAAATGAGTGACGAAATGTCGTAGCGTTTAATAGCCAGTTGGTGCTCATGTAGACGAAGGTGAAGAGGGAGACCACTTTGTCCAATGTAGTGCTGACTACAGTTATTCCAGTTGATTTTGTAAAGGAAATTCGCTTTGTCTTCTCTGATTGTTGTTCCATCCTTTGGTCTGTATAATAGTGTTTGGAGGGAATTTGTTGGTTTATGAGCCACACCAATTCCAAGTGGTCTCAGCAATCTTGTTGTGATTTCTGATACATCCCTTATGTATGGTAGGACGATGCGTCTGTTGATTTCTGTTGATGACTTAGTGGTTGGTGATGCACGGGATGGGCATCTTCTGATAAAGTTTCGTGGGTAGGTGTTCTTCTTTAGGGTGGACATCAAGTAATTTTCTTCGTTTCTCTGTGAGGTTGTTGTGCTTCAGTGTGTTTTCGCTCTTTTGAATAGAGTCTGCACGCAACTGGTTTTGTGTGTTGTGTGGTTGTTGGTATTGTAGTTGAGGATTTGGTCAGTGTGTGTTGGCTTCCTGTACACTTGTGTTTCCAGCTTTCCGACATTTGTCCTACTGACTAAAACATCCATGAATGGTAGTTGGTTGTTTGACTCTTTCTCCACTGTGAATTCGATGCCATTGTCCTCACAATTAAACAACCCAGCTCAGAGAACACAATACAACTAAGTGCTGATTAGATTATTATTTTGCACAAACGAATTGCTTTATTCAAAGACATTTCACAGTTGCTCTTTAATCACTGATTCCTAACAAGTCAAACGCCGCAACCAGACTTTCTATGTTCTTCTAGGCAGTGAAGCCGAATGAAAAGAGAATGCAAGGATTCATGCTATATCTCTCCCTGTAAGCTTTATCTTTCTTTCAAAGATATATCTTACTTCAACCAACATAGTATATTCAGATAATAATTTGGGATTAGCAACGCATACCTCAGCCATATCAGTCGAAGAGTTACAACTTCACTGACTGATTTGACTTTCTTTTCTGAGTACTCTAGATTTCACCTTAACATTACTCACACAACCATTTTTTCACATATGACCTGTAATGTACAGTTATATGAGTTATCAAATGGCAAGTATGCATTTCTCCTCCATGCTGAGATATTTTCCAAAGTATAAAGTAGGGCAGCTGTTTGACACCAATATGTTTCCCAATGAAAAAAATACTACCACAAGTTACTGTAAAATTAGATTTTAAAGGATCCAACCGTATGCTGCATCTAGTCAACATGATTTGCCATTCTGCAGAATTCCATTCTTTGCTTGTTAGTAGTTTTTCATAAGGATACATTAAATGATGGCAGTTATGAGTATTGATCGAAACTTATATATGTTTCCACTGTCTGAAATGACACAACTCTTTGATACTCTTATTACCATGGAGACAAAATGGTTCCATAGTATTGGCGTGTTAAAAGTCGAAAGGATCGAATTCTTCAGAATTGTCTATTCTATATAGACAAATAAATATGGCACCAAAAGTAAGATCGTAAATCAAAGTGTTGAAAACTTTTTGAGGGGCGGAAATTACTATACAATTTAAGTGAACACCCATACTGTACGTTTTTTTGCAATAACTTTGCTGTTACGAGCATACACGTTTCCCCAATGACGAGAGCATACAATCACGAAACTAGATTCATAGCTTTCTGACGATTGCTTATGACCAATAATGCACCATGATGGTTAATCTCCTAGCTTGGTGGTCATGTTACAAAATGATCGACAGAATTCACTCAGGACATAGGACTAGATAACACAAATTCGGTTGCTTTCCAATGACCAATCCACATAACAGATTAGTCAATGCAAAAAAGTTAACAACATTTTGATATCGTTACTTATATTATCCCTTCATTGATTAGACTTAAATGATAGCTGTCTATTGGTATATGAGCTCCTGGATCAATTTTTGGATAAAGCTTGTGTTCTAATTTTATGTTAATGATGGATAGTGGCTAACAGTGGAATCCAGGATGCATGTTTCGTCTTATTTGGGACTCGTCAGCTGTATGAACCTCCACCCCAGTGAGTGATGCTGTTCCCACCAAGATTCAAACCTCAGACCTATGGCTTCAAACCCCAGAGCGTTATCCACTAGACCATCAAACCACGATAGCCACTTCTTGTACGACAGTCATAGTTTTTGTATTGTTACTCGTGTTATCAGTTAATCACCTGAAAAGGTATACCATCTACTAATTTGAGCATACCTTAATAAGTGATCAGTGGTCCACAAAGACGAAAAAAACTGAAAACATCCAATATAAATTGAAAATAATGCAGTTCAACAGCCAACTTCAACGCATATAACAACACGAGCATTAGAAATGACTGAAAAATATATAAAAAAACTCAAGTAACTCTTCCAGTTTATCGCCAGAAGTGAAGAAACTTTATTCTACACATTACCTTGAATTTAACCATTATGATAAATTTAACTGTTCTCTAACTTCTCCTTCTACTACTTTTAACTAATTTCTTGGTTATTTCTTTATCGTTCACCTCAGTGCATTCTCGTTTAATATACTGATATAAGACATAACAAGTTGAATAGTTTAGCAGAAATGCCACCGGTCCAATCATAATATCATCCATCTGAACCATCTTCGTAAAGAGTGAAACTATAGAGGATTAATTCAACTAATTGGAAATAGATTCAAGAAATAATGCTAGTTTACAATTTAAAGACAATGAATGTCAACACAAATCTCTTAAGCTATTCGACTGAACCAGAGAGAGAGAGAGAGAGAGAGAGGGAGACTAGACAATCAGGACAGTTAATCTGTAGATAACCAGTATCCAAATATTTTTATCATAGATTTCTAAATCTCATAACTTTGTTTGGTTTCATTTGAACTTAATTATAAGATTGAACAACTAACTCCGTCTCCACCTTATCACTTTTCATCTACAACCTTGTTATCTAAAAAGTAATACATTAAAATGTTACTGTCAATAAAAATCACTTACTCATAGTTTAACTGTTCAATTATACAATATGATAAATCCAACGATTTTAAGTTCATAAGCTTTGAAATTGAACTAGGCACTTTACGAATTGGATTACAGCGTAGTGATAAGTATTCCAAACTCTTTAGTAAACTGAATTCTTCCGGAAGATCCTTTCAAATATGTTGTTTTTTTTCATACATAATAATAGATTTATAACAATATAATGATAACAATAATAATATTAATAATGATCAGTTTATTCCTAAATTTATTTTGTACAATTTGTAATTTTCAGCATGTGCTGTATTGTAACAAAAAATATATACTCCTTTACAACATTTCATATATTTCAAGTTGTTATTCATCGTAGACTGACATCAGTTGGAGGGACAGAGGAAACCTGGGAGCACTAGACAGCAGTGCGCACCCACGACCCCACCAGCAGGGATCGAACCCGCGACCTTCAGGTTCCGCGACCAGCGCGTTACCATTGAGCCACTGGGTCAGAATCCAATGCTCCATATTTCCAACTTCTCTTAGCTCACGATATAGCGCAAACCGCCACCCAATGTCATCGTTGAGTATTTGTCCTCACGGCCATCAGGCTTTGACTCCACCAGTCACGACTTGTCATTGGAACTTCGGGAATACTTCTCGAAGCTAGTCACCAATGAGCACTAGTTCAATTAAATTTTGAGGGGGTTGTGGAGATTTGGAAATATTTCAAGTTGTTGTTCATCGTAGACTGACATCAGTTGGAGGAACAAAGGAAACCTGGGAGCACTGGACAGCTGTTTCGTCCTGAGGAGTCCCATACTAGGACGAAACAGCTGTCCAATGCTCCCAGGTTTCCTTTGTTCCTCCAACTGATGTCAGTCTACGATGAATAACAACAAATATTTCCAAATCTCCACAACCACCTCAAAATTTAATTCCATATATTGTAGATATAACAATTAAATGTATACAAATAACATTAGTATCGAGGGTGATTTTGACATTATTGGCTAAAATAGTGGACTGATTATTTGTTGTTACAAAGTTGATAAGTAAGTCCTGCTCTAACATTTGTTTCCACAGATAAGATGGGTGCTAGGTCAGACAGTGTCGAATTCTTATATTTACCTGTACAAGCGTGCAGTCTGATATTATTTCTTCTTATCCTCCCTTCAGAGACACTATAAGAGAGCTAGGAAAAATGTGGATGTTTAGTATTAGTCAAAATTACTGTAACTAGTTGCTTGCTGGAATATAAATATCTGTCAACTAGAGTATTAATCAACTTAGCCTGGTTAACTAGTTCACTAGTTACTAGCTGGTCCTAAGTCCGGGTAAACACGGAAGGTTGGACATAGGGCTAGCAACCATACACCGGAAAACAAATCTAACCGCTAAACAAACTTCAAAGCACAAACAAAATATAAAAAATAAAAACAAAATTATTCCTAGCTGGAATCGGAGAGGTGAAATGATGCCAGTTGGTGAAAGCCTACCTTCAGGAAGCCAATTGGCCGATGTGTCTTTTCTCCCTCAATGAAAGCGAAAGTAAACGTGCAAACATCGAATGTCCACACGATGTTTGAACCCAGCTGGCAAGGCAGCCCAGAATGCAAAGAAGATGAGAAGGTATCACATTGAAGTGCTTGGAATTTGCGAAAGCAGGTGGACTGGGAGTGGACTATCCAAACTGCCAACTGGAGAGAGTATTAGTCAGTTGAACCAGAGACACAGCACTTACTCTACTGACGGCTTTCAAAGCCTCACGCAATATAACAGTCCTTTTTTAGTAGACTAGGAAAGATCAGCAGGGAACAGTAAAGAATTAATCAATTAATTATACCCATACAGTCTTAGTTTCCTTTTGTAATACTTTAAATGAACGATTTTCTTGGGAGTCAACAAGATCAGAGACAACCACCAAAAATCAGAAGTGAAACTCAATCCATGGTAGGTTGACATTCGATTCACTTCCAGTAGTAATACTATCAATACAACAAGAGTAATCGAACCGAAGCAGTTTACACAAGTCCTCTTTACTCCTAAACAGTCTAACATTTAGAGAGGTTTAGCTTGAGACCATCTGGGAAAGACCGCTGATCAATTTCAGACAGGAAAACATTCAGTTGAGAATAATCTAAGTGAGATTTAACTGGCACAGAAACCATCAGGTCATCAACATGATTAATTAAATTACTTTCAGTAGAATAATGTAAGTCATGCAAAAGGAGAGAAACAGAAACGAAGAGGATACTGAAACTTGAGGCACACTGACATGAGTAAACAATGAAGTGAAGCTCTTCCTTTTACAAACAGTATAACAAGAAAGAGTTAATATCGAATAATTACCGTGAATATAAAAGAACTGTGATAAACTGCAATCATGATAAATTTTCAAGCTTTCTGATACAGGTGACTGTGTAGTCAGTAATCATCCTTCTACATTGTTAATCTACGTCCGTTGCACTTTCCTAACATGTTTTTAATTACACGGATACTTGTGTATATAATGACGTGGTTAACTTTTAACATTTCTGATTATTACACGTTGAACTTCGTATTGTTGACAAACTGTCCAAGTAGATTTTGATTTCACTCACAAAAAGCTTAGTCGATATACTGTTCTACCTTAATTATCTTTTTATCAACAGTTAGAAAAGATGAGATGAACTCGTCAACCCTTGGTACATTCGTACAGTAGATAATGAGTCATAACTCTTGTATAAAAGCTAAGGATACTAATTCGTTGCCCATACCTTAGTAGACGGAGAGATGTTTGAACCGATGAGTGACTGGTTGAAGGTCAGCTGGCTAAACTAAAAGCCCACAGCTCCACTGATTAATAATTATGAGATAAAAATATTCAATCCATTACTACACTTTGATAAATTTCGGTTAGTAAAACTTCATGTGAATTACTCCAAATCTTGTATTATCCTAACTTATTTGTCCTACTCACCCCATTCTCATTTTGCCAGACATTCTCAACCTTTTGAATCTACCACAGTGGTGTAGTATTGTTTACTTGATGAAGTTTTCGAGCATAAATTATCACTCCTCATAATCATATCATTGTAATCACACTACACTTTCGATATCTAATTTCTGTGGTTCGGTCACCTCATATGATGTGTTTTTATTGGTAGTAAAATGTCCCATATCTCTGGTATAGGTGTTGCGTCATATCTAATACATTTGTTGGGTGTTGATTAGATTAATAAAGGCTGGGCGGTTTTATCCCACCATATTGAGTGATTATGTTAATGCATGCAGAGCAACAGCCAAGTCACCTTCTAGATTATTGATCTTATTTAGGTCTGTTATTCTATATTTAGATAAATTCCTATGTTCGGCTATTATAACTGACCCCGACCGATTAGTTTGACCTATGTACTTGACCTCACAGTCATTACATGGAATTTGATAGATTATATTATTTTGCTTAATCGGTTCTATCGGATCCTTAAGCCAGCCGACAAAGTTTATCTCTCAGTGAGTATGTAAGTTTAAATGTCACCCTAATTCCAGATCTGTTGAGGATTCTACGTAAAGTTTCTGAGATACCCTCCTTATAGGGTAATACAATGGAGGCTGTGAACTCCTTTTTTCCGTGTTGTCGTTATTAGTCGGACCCGTGTGACTGTTATTTATTTCTTTTTTGTGTGTCCGTAAGAAGTTCTTAATAAACTGTGGAGGATAATTATTAACTATTAGCGCTTCTTTTATGTGTTTCAATTCCTTGTTTAGGTTCTTGTTTTGACTAGTCAGTTTTCTAGCTCTATCATTTGGAGATTTGACTAAATTTGGCTTAACTGACATTGCATGAGATGACTTGAAGTTTAAATACCTATTGGAATGTATCGGTTTTCTGTAGACGGTATTATTCAAACCCTCGTCCGTCCTTCTTTTTATCCTGCAATCCCAACATAAGTAATTTTCAGATGGAATAGTAGAACATAGGAATGTAGCTAAATATAGAATGATAGACCCCAACAGAATCAATAATCAACAAAGCTCGGCTTCTTAATCATAGTGGGGCCTAGTTAAATGCTTAAGTGATGAAGCGAAAAAGCTTACTAGCAGATTGGAAAATCTACGAAAAGAAATTAGACACATCAAGAATACCTTACATCCCAGCAATTTCCCACCATAATTTGTAAATAGATTCATTAGAGATCGATAGAAAAATATTAGTAGTAGTAGCAGTAGTAGTAATACAGATGTTATTAATAATAATCCCAGTACTAATAGTAATAATGGTGACAGGGTTAAGAGAGAATTTAAAGCCTCTGCTGTGTCACCATACAAGGAAGGTACCTGAGAAGCATTACAAAGAATTCTCAATCAGACTGGCTGGGATTAGAGTTAAATTTAAACCAACAAACTCGGTTAGAAATAAGCTTTTTAGGTTAAAACATCCTTTCTATGGAATTAAGTAAAATAATCTGGTTTAACAGATCCTTTACAATGATTGCGATATCAAGTACATAGGTCAAAGTAGTCGACCAGGATCGATCAGAATAACAGACCACAAAAGCTCAGCTAAATCAAGATTAGTAGATCCTAATAAGATAAGAAATCTAGAGAAGAAGTCGGTTACAGCTCTGCATACGACGAAACACAATCACACAGTAGAGTGGGATAGGGCGACAGGGTTGAAAACTGACTTAGTTGGGTGGAATGAGGGAGAGATTGATAACCGACTGAATCTTTGTTTATCTAATCAACACCGAATACATGCAAGAGTAGAAATGATTTTACACCTGTCCCAGATATATAGAAAATTCTGCTACCCTTGTCATCACAGAGAAGGAGAGAGAATTAAGAATATACAAAGACTGTCTCGAAGTTGTAGAGTTACCTGATATGAATATGGACAATAAATTGCATCCAAAACGTTATCCAATAAATGCTACTGCTCCCTCACTATGTGATATTTTTAACAAACAGACTAAAATGGAATTACTTACACTATATTTAGTAGTATATTTTGAGCTTTATAAGTCATGCAAATCATTTGCTTTTTCTTCAATTCATTTTTCGTGACATAGGGCATAATAGTTTGAGGTTTAGGGGAACTTAAATTATTTCAAGGTTGAAAATCTAAAATTATTGGATGGCTGTCCCCTTCTTGTACAAGACTCTTCAACAGTATGCTCCAACGATCCTATCGGAGGTTGAACTCAAAACCCCAGGTCCATAAGGCAGCTGAGGAGTCACATACCAGGGTAAAACATACCTACTGCCCCAAATTTGCAACGTTTCTGCAAATAATGTCGCTGTTTGATGAATACTCCGTTGAAATATGTATAACAAAGACATAGTTACCTTGTTTGATACTTGTAATTTTCTGCTGTTATACAGTGTCGAGTAGCTCGATCTTTATTGACAAATGGGCTTCTATTCGAATTTCTCTATAGTAACCAGCAGTAAAGTCCAGGACAAGCAGTTCGTCCTTTCTGGCACTTGACAGCTGGATGTTCTAGCACGCCTGTAAGTAATGCTACTCCGCCTGAGACTTGAAGTAGTTACTTCAAGCGTCGAAGTATTATCCATTAGGCCACTGGTGCCCCAGCTAACGAGTCCCACATAGGACGAAACATGCATCCTGAAATCCACTGTTAATCAGCAACATATAAATAACAAAGTTATCTTCTTAATCTATATATACTATGAGATTCTGATTTAATTTAACTGCTGAGTTTCAGTCTTTTGAGGTTCTTCCGCCCGAAAGTCTCCGTCTCTAAGGTTTACATCTTCTTGTTGTGTATATCAGTCACTTACATCCTGAGCTATCAGTTTAATTGCAGTTATCCATCAGAAAAGCCTTGTTATTTATACTGACAACACCTATTGCAAATATTGGATGATGTATAAATAAGGCATCTGATGACAAAGTTATCATCAAAGACAACAACTGAATGAAAAACATGGACTTGTTGGATCTCAGAAAACTTATACCGCCATCGAAAGTATCCTTAACCACTGAATTTTTATATTATCCTTCGACAAATATATTTTCATTTGATCAACACCAAAATCAAGTTAATCGAAAGATTAATTGAAAACTAGAGTACTTAACATAAATTCAGTTACGTAATAATAAAGTGATTTGTTTTGATGACCTTCTGGGTAGTAAATTTCACATTCGATTATTTATCTGGTAGTGGTTAACTGTTAAATCTAGAAGTGACAGTGTTCCAACCAGGACTTGAATTAGGCATCATTTGCTTAAAACATTAGAAAGCTATTAAGTCACACCAGGCACCCCTTGTCCAACTGTATCGTTTGTTAATTATTGATGCTTCTCATCGATCAGTTCAGTTTAGTTTTATCATCAACAGAAAACTAAACGAGTCAATATATAATAAATCTTATTCATTACATTTCCAAGTCTGTGAGGATTTATTGCCTTCAAGTTGATGTTTATCACGAATTGACTTCAAATAGAAAAACAAATGAAAACCTGATAGTACTGGACAGTTGTTTCATCTAGTACACGACTCTTCAACAATGTACACCCAATCCCTCCTCTCTCACCCTTAGAGATGAAACCCACAACTTTCAGTTTCGCTGCAAGCACGTTGCCATTGAACCACTGAGACAGAACCCAGTAGCTAATGTTTTCATACATCTGTCGGTTCATGAAATAGCACAACCCTTGACCAATGTCATCTCGTCAAATACCTATAATCACATCAGATCCCTAGTGAGGTCATCGATGAGTAATATTAAGAAATCCCCTACTTGAACGAAACAGCTCCTCAATGCTCCCCGGTTTCCAATGCTTCTCCAACTGATGTCAGTAAGTGATAAATATCGACATAATACATTAGTTTATTTAGATAACACTAATGTAGAAAAATGTCCTCAGTTGAAGAAACGTCGAAAATCTGACACTACTTACCTGTTATATGATTAGCTTTTGGTATCAGCCTATCTTCAGTGTAATTTTCAGGTCATTTATTAATTTACTAAGGATTTCTAATACTGAAATTATTTCATAGATGAATAAAAGTTGACTTATTTGTCAAGGTAAGACTCACCTTTAAATAATTTCTGGAAAGATCAATACTTCTTAGAGTAGTATAGAATGCAGATAAATCCGGTAGATGCTCAAGCTGACAGGCTTCTAAAGATATTAAACTACCTCCAGAGTAGTAAGACTCTAGTAATTTAACTTGTTCTGGTTTAATTGTTGTTCCTGTTTATGGAGAAAACATTTCTAAAATCTCAAGTGAATTTAATAACAACTACTTTTAAGATAAAAGCAGAAAGGTAATCTTGTATTCTATCTACTCTGATATTATGATTTTAAAGATTAAATGACTTGGATATGTGAACTACGTTGAAACTTACCAACTAACTTGATTTCAGATTAGTGCTCATCACTGACTAACATCAGTTACAAAATCGTTGAAAATATAAGAGCATTGAATGACTTTTTTATCCTGGTATATGATTCTTCAGCAGTTCAAACTCATGATCTGTCCAAGAGGTTGGACCCTTAACTTTCAGGTTTCTAGTTGAACAAGTAAGTATTGAGCTACTGGGTAGTAATCTAATGGTTCACACCTTCCTACTTCTGTCAGTTAGCTATTTGGTGTTACCTTCATTCAGTGTCATAATTGAGCACCTGTCCTCATGTCTGACTTGGATTGCCCTATGGGTCACTACTCATTAGAACTTCAGGGAATTTCATCTCGAAGCATGTCACTAATAAACATTGGACGGTGATTCATTCTGATGGTCGATGGTTAAAGGGATATTGTGAAGTTGAATGATTAAGGCTTAGTAAAAATGTTCCACTCATTTGTAAAATATTAAGTTCGTTCAAGAAAAATCATGTAATCAAAAGCCAGTGATCAGAATATTCACCTCAAGATAAAAGGAATCTATATATATTTACTCCTTACCCTATCTGAGCCATGGTCAGTTTGATTATGAGAATTCATATCTTCTGTTTCAGGATGTTTGTCCGACTTTATATTGTAATGGTTAACATTCTTCTCTTTACAGACCGATGTAACAAAGAGGTCCACCAATATGCCCTAGTTCTACATCTTACATTCGTCAATTACCAGTCAACTATTCGTCCAAGTGAACCATTATTATTCTCGTTTTGTAGCAAACTACACAGTCTAGTGCATGAACGTTAGCACTAATCGAAGACTATCAATGAATTTTGCAATGTGCCCGTGAAATGAAGTAATGCGACACTGCAATTCAGTCTTTACTAGATTAGGGGACATACTCTTTATGTCTGTGTTCACAGATTGACTGAATTAGGTCTATACTTTTTGAATCCAGCCTTAAGTAAACAAGTAGTAGGTACTAAACAAAATGTATACTAGCCAAAAGTATGAAAAGCTTTACGAAAGCTAAACGTTTGGGACTCAAGTGATTACCAAGACAGATATAGGCCGAGGAATAGTTCTTATAGATAAAACGAACTACATAGAGAAGACTAATGTCTTCTTTAGTAATGAAGGAAGATTTAAGAAATTATTATCGCTTGTTAAACTCGCCTGGTTAACTAGTTCACTAGTTACTAGCCGGTCCTAAGCCCGGGTAAACACGGAAGGTTGGACATACCCCGGAAAACAAATCTAACCGCTAAACAAACTTCAAAGCACAAACAAAATGTACAAAATAATAACAAAATTATTCCTCACTGGAATCGGAGAGGTGAAATGATGCCAGTTGGTGAAAGCCTACCTTCAGGAAGCCAATTGGCCGATGTATCTTCTCTCCCTCAATGAAAGCGAAGGTAAACGTGAGGATGTGGAATGTCCACATGATGTTTGAACCCAGCTGGCAAGGCAGCCCAGATTGCAAAGAAGATGAGAAGGTATCACATTGAAGTGCTTGGAATTTGCGAAAGCAGATGGACTGGGAGTGGACTCTCCAAACTGTCAACTGGAGAGGAGTCAATAATCTACTCCGATATTCTCACCCAGACGACAACCATGAGCACACTGAGTTTTGGAGTGGCTATCATGATGTCCCCAACAGCATCGAAGGCTCTCTCTCATGCAGTGGGAACCAATCTCCTCCACTATCAGGATCGTCACAGCAAGATGGATTCAACTCAAAAGGAAGGAAGGAAGGTCACAATCATACAATGCTACTCCACACACCTACAAATAATGCAGATGAAGAGAAAAAGGAGGAATTCTACAGACAACTTCAATAAACACTGGACAAGACCCCACTACAGTTGGTGACATCAAAATCCACTCCAGTAGGCGACATGAATACCAAACTGGGAGCAGACAACACAGGAAGAGAACTAACCATGGGTTGAGAAGCGCTAGATGAAATGATGAACGAGAATGGAGAACTGTCTGCAGAATTCTGAGCGTTCAACGATTTGGTGATTGGAGTCAGGCTGGCTGGCTGGCTGGCTGGCTGGCTGGCTGGCTGGCTGGCTGGCTGGCTGGCTGTTGACGAACCAACGAAGCAAGAAGCTATCGCTGAACAAATATGTAGTAGCAGGAAGTGGAGATTGATTGGATTGGGCATACACTGAGAAGGCCGACTGTGGACATCACGCGTCAGGCCAGTTGCTCGAGTGGAAGCCAGATGGGAAGCGACTAGTTGGGTGTCGGTGTTGAGGGTGACATGGAGGAGATGGTGCGAGGAGGAAATGAAAGCTTTTGGGCAGTTGTGGAGCCAGGTTGAAAATATTTCAGAGAGGAGAGTGGAGTGGAGACGTGCTACTGAATCCCTATGTTTCATTAGGAACCCAAGGGACAAATCATGATAATAATATATAAGCAGTTTGAGTCTGGTTTTTAAAACTTACCTTTCGATAAGTTGATCAGTTTCTGATTCTTTCGAAATCTGATTAATTTTTTTGTAGTCACTCTAGGAGAACTTAATGTAATAATTAACAAATTATTTTTTATGTGAAAACGTACTCAACTAACATTATTTTACTATGATTCATTTTCTCCTTTATTATAATTGCATAATTTGTTTGATATCTAGTTGATGAATCTTGATAATTACCTGGAAGTTTTTCAATAGAACAAGTGATTTCTTTATCACCAGCTTGAACTAATGCATGTTGTAATTCATAAGCTATCTTGATTAAATTATGATATAAAGGTGTTCGTTTAATAGGTATAGTAAGTTTTTGTAAATTTTCATTAAAATTTATCTCTGTAACTGGTTTACTATCAGTTGTATTCGGTTTCAAATACTGAAAATTATGTACAATTTCTGTATGATTGGATATTTGAAGTTGATGACAAATTTCAAGTGAATACTTATTCCCAATATCATTATTATTAGCCTTTTGAAGACTGAAATTTCCTTTGATAGACAAAAAATTGAATTGATTATCAGTAATAGCATGTTTATATCTTCTCTGAATGATATTTTTATAATCTTTCAGTAAATATGGTTTAGTATATGCAATTGTATAATTATCCCTTTTATCTTGTAGAGTAGATTGAGGCCTATTTGAACTTTGATGAATTTTATTAAAGGATACTGTAAATTTTCTAGGTTTACGGATAACATAGCCATGTTCATTTGGTATAGATTCAATAAATCTTCTAGGTCGACGGAATAATATTAAATCCTCTGTCATCTTACTAATTAACAAACCTTTATTCAGCTGATAATTCGATAGATATACTGGTTGATTATCGATTTTTATGTAGTGACCTTAAAAATCTTCAGCTTCATTATAATGATGATTGTACTTCACTAAATAATGAAATTCATTTGTCTAATCAGTAAACAAACCAACAAATTGTACATTTCAAGTTTAATTTATTATTTGTAAGTGTTCCTTAAGTGTGATTTAATAGATGACAGGACTATTTAAGTAGGATAGAGATTCTGTGAACAGTTATACATGTCTGTAATAAATACAAGAGATATGATTCTATCCAACTTCATACCTGTTCAGCAAACATTTGAATGCGTAAGTTATAGATTTAGAAACTATGACATTAGACTACTATTTCGAATTGACCACTGGAATTTTCCGGTGACTGTAATAATCTTTTGATGATCCAGCTAAGAATATAGACAGCGTATACAGACAGTCTATTCCTGTTAACTTGAGTGAGTATACGGGAACTATCTGCAACTTACTGTTTAAGTGTTTTAATCGCATGAATTACAAAGAAGTAACTACACTTAACGCTTGGAATTCATGTTTGTCACTTCATATGTTTTTCAATCTGGACGTTTATGGGGTGTTTGTCGATTTTAAGTTCCCATTCGCCATGGACTATTAAACTATTAAAAACTTGATCGAAACCGACAGCTGTTTCATTCATATGTAGGACTCCTCAGCAGTACGCACCCATTACCACGTTAATACCGGTGAACACGTTACACTTGACCTCTGATTTGTAACTCACTGGTTTACAGTTTCTTACTCTTGTCAGTTCACCATGCAGCATGACTATGTTCCAGGTCGCCGCTTCCCTTCTTACTGACTGACCTCACAAGTCATAGCTTTTCATTAGAACTTCAGAATGTCCACCTACGCGGTCAACCAGAGGAAAGTGAAACGGATGTCAATTGCGATATACTGCGAATTGTTAGAAGTAGGAAACTGTGGACCATTGAATTGCAACCCAGTGTCTGAAGTGCAACATATTCGTCGTGAAACTTGAAGGTCATGAGTTCAAACCCTAGTTGGGTCATGGGTGCGTACTACTGAACAGTCTCATATTTGAATGAATCAGCTGTCCATTGCTCCCAGGTCTTCAATGATCCTCCAAATGATGACAGTTCATGTTGAATACTGCCTTCAGAATCAAATCTCCATTAACTTCAAATTGAAATATGGTTATTATCTTAACCTATTTGTGGTCACGCTAATCAACTGCCTACTTTCAACTCTGAAAACAGTTCACATTTTCCTCCTTAAACATCCCGTTTCGATGATCTAATACTGACCAGTTATCCAACTAGCGGATATGTAAGCTTTGTTTTAACGTGTGGACATTCACTGCTAAACAACCACACATTTGCATCTTCTTTGTGATGATCATCAGCCATAAACTCAAAGTCTATAGTTCCACTAATTTTTTTTTTCACCTATGTTAAGCTTTTTACTAATAACTAATAAATAAACTACTCTTCTGAGTGCCTTATCCACCTAACATGGTTTCCTAGATGAATTTTGTTACCATTAATTACATGTAAGTAAGAAATTAATTAATTTAGAACTGGTGTAGATTATTTTATGTAAGACTAGTCACGTGATAAGTAATTACAACACAATCAACCTCTTACAAATTGTTCTGGGGAACTGATGAAATTTAATTGAATCGTTAATCCAGGCTGTCATCAATTATGATTATTGTTCATAATACTGATAATCATACTTATGATAGTATTTCTGTACTACATGTAAATATGATACACCTTAGGTGGTTATCGACCATATTGTGAAGTAGTCAGCCATTAAAATATAGTTTTTAATCAAGATATATTTATGAGACAATAGTTCATACAATTCCATTTTTAAGGACACATAAACAATTCATAAATCCATTGAAAAGATTTCAACTGCTAAATAGTTCTATACTCAACTGTCAAATGCATTTGAAATGCAATAAAACGAAGAGAAGAAATGTTTATTCATTTATTTGCTTTAATTTTTTCCGGATTTAAACAATGAGAGCATATGTGCCGATGAAAGTTATGCTGACAAACATATAATGACTTCATATGTATCCATCTTAACACCATATGTGTATAATATTAGTTAAGCAAGTGAACTCTAATTCACTTTTTTCACCTCAAATACAACTGAAACAAAATTCTGAAAAAATGTGCACATTGGAGGAATTCTTATATACAATGATATCTATAGGAATGAAGGTATTAATAAGTAGGTTGTTGTACATGTCAGTTACTTAAGTGTATTCTTATAAAGAAATTCTTGCTTTATCTTGAAAAATATCCAGAAATGGTAAAATCCGATAAGTCTATAACAGATCAGACGGGATTATGGCTTATTTTGTAACTTATCTGCTTGATTATCGTATCAATTTTGAGTTCGTAACATGATATAATTGGAGACTGAATTGTGATCAGGCACAGTGTAGCAACAAGAATGAGTAGCAAATTACTTAAGAAGTGAATAGTGTCAAAACAGAGAGATGGAAAGAAAAGAGGGGTGGGGTAGGGTAATGTAAAGATTTCAAAGAATGAAAACTAAAGCCATGAAAAGAGAAGGGGTTGGCATGAGCTTCGGCAATGTAGAGAATCCGAAGGCATGCAGCCTTTGGAAAGTTTTTTGACTTTATAGGTGAATGTGAATGAGGAGTTTCTTGAGATAGGGTGATTCATGTTCATGATGTTTTCAATTGTAGCACTTCTTATCGCTCCATTGTAACCTCTTTTTAACCACTCAAGATAGTGTTCTTGAACCCTTTTGGATAAAAGTCGCATCGAACGACCTACATACCTGACTCCACAAGAGCAGGCGCACTGATATATACACAGAGAAGTGGTCAGATGTGAAAGTTTCTTATTCCAATTGTTAGAAATCGTTGGGTGACAAGAGAATACTAGTCTCAACGTTGAGGCGAAGAATATTCTCCTCAGGGCTTTTGATATCCTTCTTTTTAGAGTCTGAGCAGCAGAATCATCTTTGAAGTTCAGATTCACATACAGTATCTTTTCGGCATGGTGGTGGCGAGGTCTAGGCTTGGTGTTTTCTATTCTCTGAAGTGTGGTAGGAATCCGCCTTCAATCAGGACGTTCTTTAGAACAGGAATTTCCTCTTTCAACATATCGTGACTGCAGATTCGTCTAATACGAGTGACAAGAGATATGATCAAGTTTTGCTTACGACTCATAAGAACCCAGACATTGAAGTCCGTCAGTTGACTGGTTTTCTGGGAAGTTTTAGGAATTGTCCTAGTGCGATCTTGACAGATGCAGAGGCTAATCACTAATTATTCGAACTTGTCATATACCTACGAATACGAGACCAAGAAAGAACACAATAGAGTAGTCGGATGGAATAGTATATTTTCGAGGTCGTGCCAAGATACCGATGCCTTCCAACTAACTGGCTAGAGGGTCGATTACCAGCAGTGCAACTTCACATGACAGAGTGCCAAATGGCGAGGATGCTTGACCGGGTGCCTTCAACTTAGGTAGTCCGATAATACTATGAAATTCAGCACCAATGTTGAATTTCATCGAACCCTAGACTATTGATTTTTGGGAAGTGTGACGCTACAAACTGATCTACTTAACGTTCCATCAGCTGTTTCTATTAACTGAAATAGTTGTTCTTCTTTCACGTCCTGACTGGTATATTTCACACACTGAAATAATTTTCACTTTAAAATGTAGAAATTTAAGCTTTTATATCATGAGAAAGATGTATAGCCCAGAATGGTTTAGTTTCCCATGAACTTAGATATTTGGTAAAGGATGTTTCACCAATAAACTTAGGAACACCGTCATAAACATGCATAACTATATGCTTGCTGTTGAATCGTTGATTACTTCCGTCCTAGTTCAATGTTGTTTCCTTCAAAAAATACACATCTTTTTAAATACATTCTTCTAGACTGCTGAGCCTCGTTTTCCAGCAAGTAGCTTTCCACTAAGCCCTGTCAAGTTAGGAACAAAAACCAAATCTAGGGACACAAATCTCCCAGTGTGGGTCAGTAAAGGTAAATGGATACCGGCCAACAGTAATGTACTAGATACAGTTCCCGAAGATTCGCATTGATTTGTTCTAAAAATGGTAACGAAACCTTCCAGGTGTAAGAAAATATTCACTTCACCATAATACATATAGTAAGCGAAGTTACACTTAGATATCCGAGAGCAATTTTCCCACACATTTTCCTTGTTAACTTTTTGACTTTCAACAGTTCACACTTTCAAGCAGTTTTGAACTTTTTACGTACTTCTGCTCCCATAATATTTTCTGAATTGAAACTATCTACAAATTACAATTTTACAAAGTTTATGCATATTTCTGAGGTAGCTGTGAATATTTAAGTGTGATTCAACAACCTGTAATCATGATATTAGTGAAGACTACGAAAACTGTATAGATACCTTTGTTTTGTCTTTAAATTGAAAATTATATTTCTTCATATTATTTTCGAAATTCAATACATTTCCCGTAACATATGTAAAAACAAGCGATTGTTTATCTGTAGTGACCGATTCCCTACTAATTACAACTTTAGTAAGTTGGATATAGCCTCCCTGAAAATAGATGTTGACTCAATCCTGCTGTTTTCTTTTCGTTTTTATTTCTGCACAAGTTCTGTACTAATAGACTGTTTTTAAAGAAATTTTACAGGGAACAAGTCACCTATTTCCAAACGTTTAGCAGTCTATTCTATGGCAGTGCCACACAAGCTTCTTCGTCACCATCATATACTTCAATCCTTCTAATTATGTTGCTGAAGCTAAACTTGTACTTAATTGGATCCACTGATATTGTATTCAAATAACTCTATTTTAAATATATTTACACTGCCTCGTAACCTCCCGATAACACTTCCATCTTGATAGATATTCTAGTTGTATTTCAAATTATTGTTTATAGTTATAGATAACAGGAATTTACGTTGATTGTTTTTG